CATACAAGCCCTTATGCCCAGCTTTAAATTTATTGCCTACAAATAAATTCTATTTTTTATGTCACTTGCCCCTGGGCAAGTGGTTGATAAAATTTCACTTGCCCACTCCTAAAATTCACTAGCCCCAGGCATCGGGCAATGGGATTTTTCATTTCCTGGACCTGTATATATACGGTTTCATCCAAATGACCTGTCTTTACGTCCCACTGAGGGATTCGAACCCAAAACATAAGGATCAACTCCTTTCTCTGCAGCTTTAAGAGCAAATGCTCTAACCACTGCTCCATATGGGCGACCCATATGGGCGACCCTATGTTAGTTATCAAGAGCGATGTTATTGTGTTAAATTTTACAACTTACTGGGTGTGTTCAATTAACTACCAATAAACTGCACAATAAAACACTAAACACATTCAGGAATCATTCTTGTGTTGGAATTGTTTTTAGCTCACCTGCTCAATGATTTCAAGCCACTGCCATTAAAAGAGTCAACTGACAATTTCTAAATATGAAACATTTCAGAATTTCTGAAATTCTACATTTTTTGTTCAATCATCAGTCATCATGAGAAATTGAAAATATATTGTAGCTTTTAAAGAATTATTTGCACATGTACATTTAATTTTAGGAGCAACAAAGAGTCTTGATTTTAAGAGGCATGCAAGAAAACAGGCAGTGTTGAAAAGAAAGAAAAAGATTTTCAAGAATTGCAGATGACACACTGAGGTGAAAAGAAAAATAATGGTTAGAAAGAATTAAAATTATATATTTATTACAGTGGCAGATTTATCGAGGGGGAGGGGGGTTAAGAAAATGTAACGGGTACTTGGAAAGTTTTACATTGAGATTTATATTTTTTTTATTCTCCAGAAATATATTGGTATGTTTAGAACAGACAGTCATCTACTTTATGAATAATTATTTGCAATTTAGCTTGCCTGAGTCTAATGCCCTGTTCACAGGGAGAGTTTAATTCCAATTAAACGTAAGTTACTGCAAATTAAATGTGAACAGCATTCACATGGAGAATTTAATGCGAATAAGTTTAATTTGAATTAATTTACTGTGCTTTAAATTACTTTGCATTAGCTCCATGTGAATGCTAAGCGAAGCTAATTCAAATTAAATTTTGCATGCGTAAGGCCTGAATTAAGTCACAGGCCGCATGTCAATAGTTGGATTTAGGTATCGGTGCTATTTTTGGTTGAAAAAGAAAGGAAAATTATATTAATCACTAAATTTTATAACAAACACTATGCCATTGATTTTTATGTCAATTGAATCTGCTTGGCACACATGATGTGAATAACAAATGACGTCATAATAGCATTGCTGATAGCTCTAAGTAGAAATAAAATTTTGATTCACTTTAGTTTACTTCACTTTAGCTGTCGTGTGAACGCAATTTAATTTGCATTATTTTACTTTGCATTGATTTACTGTGAATTATACTCTCCATTTGAAAAGAGCATAAGGCTCAAGTAAACTTTTCGGACTAGGAAGACATAGTGTCTGGCATCTGTTTATCATACCCCCAGGGTTAGGGTGGGGCCACAATGGAAATTTTAGTTTTACACAAGAATACAAAGGAAAGAACATTAGAAATCTTCTAAGGCCATGATTAGTCAAAGAAATAGAAAGCATCCTCAATTGATGTAGATTTAAGCTTGTTCAAATCATGCCCGCTTCCCCTTCCCTTAGGATTATTTTGGGCCCAGTAAGTATGAATAATTACTTTTCAATACTGAAAGTCAAAGAACTAAGGTGAGCAATGTGACCCATTGGTCTTTTATTTGACCGTCATCATTTCTGTGCAAATATCCTAGTGTATGTTCATTTTTTTTGGGGGGGGGGGGGGTTGTTGCACCATACTTTGCAAATAAAGATGCATAATAAAATTGCCAAAAGAAGTTTAAATATTTTTTTAGAAATTCATGCAAGTTACAAAGGATATTGTGAGAAATAAGGAGGTTTTTTTTTTGATAAAGGGAAATGACTTGCAAATGGACATTTTTTTAATTCATGTCAGAATTTAATGCCAGGTCTGTTCAAACAAGAAAAACCCAGTTTGCGGTCACATTGGGTGCCCTCCACTTGTCATATTTATCATGAAAACAAGATGTATTTGTGAAAGCTATATTTAGCATATAGGTCTCGGTCAAGGTCACAAGGTCATTGACCTTGATGTCATTTGAGAGAACTTTATTAGTGCAGGATGCATTCCAAATATGAAGTCTCTATCTCATGGTTCGTAAGTTATGGTGAAGGTTAAAGTTGACAACAGACAGACAAACAGATAAACAGACAAACAGACAGAACAAAAACAATATACGCCCTGGATCTATTGATCCGGGCGCATAAAAATTCTCCATCCTATCAATTTTTCCCATGATTATGCATGTCAATGATAATTATAAAAATTCTTATTGTGTTTTTAATGTTATTTTTCAGGGTTCAGGAACCATAAATTTGATGTTGGAGTTTGAATTTCATCCTGATAGACTTTGAGCACATCATAAGTTTTAGACCTATGGAAAAATCTTGTAGTTGGAAGATAAGGAAAACACCGCCGTGAAAAAAATCAGAGAAATCTTGATAGAAGAGTGTGCTGGCCTGGACAAAAAGTTGCAATGTGAATAACTTAGAAGAAAGAAGAGTCTTGGCAAATTTCAGAGAATTCTTGATGAAAGATTGCATGTGTTGTTCCTGTTGTTCTATGATCTTTGTCCTTTCAACAATATTTAACACTTTATTTGAAGTGACGCATTTTTGATTTTCATTATTGAAATAGTTACATTTGATACCCTATTTAACCATTGGGCCAAGAAAGGTGAATACTCATATGGAATCATTCAAGTTTGTACAAATCATGACCCCTTGGGTGTAGAGTTGGGGCCACACTGAAATTTCAAACTTGTAGGAAAAAAGGCCACAGTCAAAAATATAAAAGCATCCATATTTAGTGTAGGTTCAATTTTGTCAAATCATACCGCTCCCTTTTAGGGGTAGGTCAGGGCTATTTATGCATCTGAGTTTTTCAATACAAAACTGATTTTTGCTTTTTTCTTAGCCACAGTGCTCAGGTGAACCAGTTGGTCCCTGTCAGAGCCTCTTGTTCAATATGTATATACATTTACCAAAATATTGAGGCATTTGCTATTTGAATATTTTGCAATTAGATTTGTTTATTTTTAGCTCTACTGGTCAGAGACCAGAAGAGCTTATGCAATAGTAAGGTGTCCGTCTAGCTGTCTGTCCGTCTGTCTAGCTGTCTGTCTTTCTGTAAAAAAATTTTCAAAACGCTACTCCTCCTACAGTTTTGGTCTGATTTTAATATAACTTGGCACACAAGTAGACTACACTAAGATACGTAAAATAGTGCATCGGTTTTTGATTTCAATGAACAGTGTTGCCATGGTTACTAAAAATAGAAATTTCTGTGAAATTCCTTTAAAATGCTACTCCTTCTACAGTTTTGGTCTGATTTCAATATAACTTGGCACACAAGTTGACTACTCTGTGATACATACTAGTAATTTAGTGCATCAGTTTTTGATTACGATGAATGGTGTTGCCATTGTTTCTTAAAATAGAAATGTCTGTGAAATTCCTTTAAAACGCTACTCCTTCTAAAGTTTTGATCTGATGGCAATGGCTTCTTTTCTCATCCTTTGTTATAATTACAAACCAGTAGAGCTACAGTCTCGACAGAGACTTCTGGTTCCTGAAAGTAATTTGCACATTTGTTTTATTTAAAGTTGTCTGGTAATGATGTGTTATTGACTTACCCATTTAGTGACAAGAGGTACATTATTAAATTGTAATATTTACTGAAAATTGAAAATAAAGACCAAATATTGCCACTCAAGACAGTGGTGGGAGAAATAGAATGTTCTAAAATTAAATGGATATTAAATTGTGATGATTTTTTTTCTGGTGTTCTTTTGGACTTGAATGGCAAACATGTAATGGAAGGAATGTTGGAAAAGTTGGAGCTCTGTCTTATACATGTGATAATTGTAGACCCAAATACTGTTCACCAACATAGGAAATACATGTTCAAAATATGGGAGCTACTATATAGCCTATATACTGTATGTGAACTTAAAATAGTGGGCTTCATATTTGTGTCTGATACCGTATAATCCCTATTAACCGCCCCTGCCCCTATAAGTGCCCCCTAGGTCTTTTTTCATTTATCAGTGAATTAAGGGCCCCCTGTACTGTGATTCGTATCTAAAGTCTGCCAAAATTTAAAGAAAGTGAAAATGTAACTTGTCTATTATCCAATTTCTCGGTGGAAAATTAATCATATAGCATAATTTGAGTAGATTATCTTCACTTAAAGTAAAGTTCAACATCATTTTAGTGGTTCTTTGAATTTTTTAGGGTTAAAAAAGACAATAAATTTCATTTCAAAAAATACCAAATTAACCGCCCCCTTTTTGCAATTTTCTATGCGCCCGGGGCGGTTAATAGGGATTATACAGTAATCTGTAAATTATATGTATACACATGACTTTTAATGAGTTACGCAGTACCTTCACATATGTGTAATTGACCTTGAGAAGGAATTCCCACTCAAATCTAGTATTGAAAAAAAAAACTTGCATGCAAGTAGATTTCCAAACAAGATGTGTTTGTGAAACACTGATGCCCCCGTATGGCAACAAAGTGAAGATTAAGCTTTTCCTAAATGCAAATTTAATATATTGGTATCCAAAGTAGGGTCTCCTGACTGGAAATACAATTGTGAAACATGAAAGCCCTATCACCATCTGTTCCCAAGTTATGGCCAGGCTAAAGTTTTTTTCCACAAGTATACAGAAATCTTCAAGATCAAGGTCAAACGGTCAATGTTATTGGTATCCAGTGAAGAGTCTTTCCACATGTAGGGAAGCCCTAATCATTCAAAAGTTATGGCTCAGGTCAAAAAGATTTTAAAAGTAGGTTAAACTCCCAGATCAAGGTCAGAAGCTCAAGGTCATTGGTATTGTTACAAGAATTACATATGTGAAGTATAAAAGCCCTAGCCCTTACTCTTCAAAAGTTATTGCCAAGGTTAAAGTTTTTTCATTAGTATGTAAATCTCCAAGGTCAAAAGTCAAAGTTGATAGTATTCAATGAAAGGTCTTAACACAAGAAATACATATGTGAAATATGAAAGTCATAGCTCCACTAAATCAAAAGTATGGGCAAGGTTAAAGTTTTTGCGGAGAAACAGCTAGACGGACACGACAAAAACTATATACCCCGAAACTTCATTTATGGGGGCTTAAAAATATAAGCACAAAACAAGATTCAAGTTATTATTTTATTATATTTTTTCTGGCATAAACTTTTTTTTCAATTCACACAAGAGAGACATGAAATATCTCTAAATTCCAGTCTTATCAGTGTCCTGTTTGTGTTGGATTTTTATCTGCCATTACATGTGTACATATTCTGCATTGCTAATCTTGAAATGCCTAAAAACTGGACTATGCTCTCTCAAATTAGATAAACCATCAAGTCAAAAGCTTATAGGCTCAGTGTTGTGGAACTAATAGTACAGAATTAAGTGATAGCAAAAGGTCTAACAGTCTATAAATCCATTTGAATATAAACAATTCTTTCTCTCTCTTCAGATCCTTTTCTCTCCAACCACCTTTTTTCAAAGTGGGTTATGACATCATTCATAGGAAGAACTGAAATATAAAAATATCATTATACCACCTGATTCATGATGAATTAAATAACACATAACAATAGGCCCATGGGCCACAATACTCACCTAGGTCACTTGCAATTGGTCCTGGTGTTCCGCAAAATTAAAAAAAAAAGTTCCTATTTTCAATGATAAATGAACCAATGTTGTGGCCTCACCTTAGCATAAACATTTGTAATGAGGTTTACTTAAACTTAATTACATGTCCTTCCATCAAACTTTGGACTTCATATGCTGATACATACATTTTATTAATAAGAGTTTCTTATTTCTGAATTTCTTACCTCAATTTTCTTAAATTTATGTTAAGTTCAATTTCAAGAGTTATTTCAGATATTTTTATCAAACCTTATATATGTGCAGATACATATCAGGGATTTATCTAGCTTTTTTGTTTTACTACCGTTTCATATGTAAAGGGGAAAAATGAGAGCCGCAGGCTCGATCTGAGCACCGGAGGCGCGAGTATTCTAGGGGGGTCCGGGGGCATGCCCCCCACGGAAAATTTTTAAATAAATGGAGCAAAATCCTGCATTCTTAGAGCTTCTGAGGGTCATTTGTAGACCTTTACAAAGGCCACAAAATCTTCACTTTTGAGACAAAATATTAAATAACATAAAAAAAAATTTAAACCAGGTCAGTATACTTTATTTAATTTTTTTCTCTCAATATCTATCACAATGACAAATCAATTCTGTTTTTCATGTTTCACTACTAACATTGTTTTTGTTGTTACTCCATTCTTTGATTCATAGTGATTTAAGCTCCATCTTACTCATCTACACTTTTCTTAACTCTGCAATCGCATACGTAATATTTTGACATCATGGACATGGCACATGTTTACCAATCAATATCAAATAGAAGCTTGAATAATCTACTCTCTCTTTTAAAAGCGTTTGAATGACTAGGATTATGAATTAGGATATGCTATTAAACTTCAATCAGACAAAAACGGAAAATTTCAGTACGATGTTTTAAGTATTCTCTGTTTAATCGGAGAATTTTCTATCTGAAAAAGGGGAATTTTTCACTCTTTTCAAGAGGGGAAAGGTACCGTTTACCGGTAGTAAAAACAGCCTTGATAAATCCCTGCATATTGATGGGATCTAGTCAACTTCATAATCCTTATTTTACTTGACCTTTCCTTTGACCTTGACCTTTCTTTAAATTAGTGAGTAAAGCTTAGTTTTAAAGAAAATATTCAAGAGACTTTGATTACTCTTCATATGCTTAAACTATAAACATTGATAAGAGCTATTCAGCTGCATGAACATTTTTATCTTGACCTCTCTCAAATGTGTGTTAAGCTTTAAAATTTAAAGAAATAATCATGATATTTTAATAAAATTTTATACACTGAACATTTTGAATAGCATTTTCAAACTGCATCAGAAAATCTGCCACTGTGTTAAATAATTTCTGAATTCTTTCTAACCATTAATGTTCTCTTTACCTTTGTGTCATCCACCATTATTTGATGGAAAATCTTCTTCTTTCTTTACACCCCAGTTTTCTTTCTTTAAAATCTGCATGCCTATAAAAATCGAGACTCTTTGTTGCTCCTGAAATTAAATGTGCAAATAAATCTTTAAAAACTAGAGCATAATTTTTATTTCTCATAGTGACTGATGATTGAGTAAAAAATGTAGAACTTCTCATAATTAACCATAACCCTATATTTAGAATCTATTATCTACATGTTGTAACTCCTAAAAGCTGTGACTTTAAAAAACACCCAGAGGCCTTGGATCCGCTCGCATACTTGCTACACTAACATCTCGCAGAGGGTACTGTCAGAGGTCAGATTCTATCATCCAATCAAATTGTCGCCTGCAAAATCATTGTATATTTGTTGAAGCGAATAGAACAACATTTGTTCCGAATTTGACCTTAGACGTAACCCTCTATGGGATATTGTTTTATGTTAGTGTAGCAAGTATGCAAGTGGATCTAACATTTAACTTTAATTAGATTGACCCAGAGGTGAACATACTTACTAGTAAATGTGCATGTTCATACCCATTTATAATAAATGAAAAAGGCTGTCTTTTACCTGGAACTTTCTGTTACAGTACCATCCCACAGCAGCTCCTTTCCTCAAATTGTGCATAATCATAAATCTACAACATAACAGTTACTTCATAAAAAAATGTTTTTATCCAATCATAGATAAAATCAGCCAATCAAGACAATTCATCAAAAGTCAGACTTTTAACTTTAAGTTTTTTGTTCGTTTTTATGTTGTTTAATGTCTCTCTCAAGAATTTTTCACTCATATGGAGACGCCACCATTTGCTGGTGGAGAGCTTCAAATTTATTCTATACTCGACAATTACGGCCATTGAGCAGTGAGGGACCTTTTTTGTGCCAGCACCTACTGTGACACAGGACATACCGTTTTATCTGAATGTAGTAGTCCTGGAAGTGCTATAGCCACGGATTGCCCTGCTACCTCTGATCACATGGTATATGTCACACACCTGCTGTGACGTGTACCTATCATCGCACACAGTCACTTTTTCTGTGGGTGCAGAGTACAGACATTTCTTTTCTCCATCAATATTGGATATTGTATATAGTACACTGCGGTCACTAATCAAACTCGTGTTATTTAACCATTGTGTTTTCCGTTTTCTGCCATCACCACATCAGGTATAATAATATCTTATGTTATATGAAGGACTGCATGGTCTCCATGTCCCACAGTGTGATTCGAACCCACGACATAAGGATCAACTCTTAACTTTGCAACTGTATAGAGCAGACAGTCTAATATGGGTGACTCAACTGACCCAAGTCTCAATGGCACAATGTAAATAACAACAGATCTCAATGTAAATAACTTACTTCAGGGAAAATTCAAGTCAAAACTGTTAAGTACAGGCTGAATTAGTAAACTAAAAAATATCTGTAAGTAAATACATAGGGGTCTACACTATATCATTTAAAAAACGCCACTTTATCTACATATGGAACATAAAATCACAATGCAATGGAATGCATTCATTGCATTGATGCAATCTCAATCTCCTATACAAAAGTACAGAGATAATTCGAACTAGTTTCTTCCGAAGCTGTCGTTCAATAACAGCATACTGACAGCTGATTTCTGAGACATTTCCTTTATCGAATGAATGTAATTTACTTACTTGTACATTATAATATAACAAAATCATCTTTACTTACCGACAAACCGCCTGCCTTTCAGTGGCGCCGAACTCGGCACTTTTGGATACGGAAGCACATGGCCTTAAACCACGTGATTGTCTTCGGCAGACAAACGTTTACTTTTTCAAGCGTCCAAATAATAATAATCTTTCCCAAAAATGTAATTGTGCTGTACATCAGAATCACACAAACGTTTGATTTCAAGCGTCTAAATAATAATAATGTTGCAACTTTTTTGGTCGCGATTATTATTGTTGGAGTAAGACAGATTATAATTGTATGATCGATGTGGAATAAAATTGTTATGAAATTGAAGCGAAATAAAAATAATGTGTTCGCTTGGGCAAACAAGATTATAATTGTTAAAAGTAAGAATAATTATTATAATTTTGAGGTGAAATAAAAATAATGTTTAAATTAAACATCGACTGACAAGATTATAATCATGAGGCGAAAAATTATAATAATGTGTCCACATTGACTGGCAAGATTATTATTGTAAAGTTTGGATCATTATAATTGTAGGACAAAATAATAATAATGTGCACACATTTAAACATGGACTGACAAGATTATAATCATGAGGCGAGAAATTATAATAATGTGTCTACATATTGACTGAGCAAGATTATTATTGTGATTAATGTGAAGTGAATCATTATAATTGTAGGGCAAAATGATAGTAATGTGTACACATTTAACAGACAAGATTATAATTGTTACAGAAAATAATAATAATGTAAGATTTTTGAGTTTTGGATGAGATTATTATTTTTGGTATAGATATATAGGAAAATATAATAATAATGTGGGGGTACCCTACGGCTTTCCATAGGAATCCCTTTATTGACAAAAAAAAAGATATTTTGGATAATGAACATGTTCTTTTGAATAACATGTCGATTGATTTATTCTAAGTATCAGAACTTCTAAACACAAAGAAGAGCATCGACTTGCATGCTTTCGTAACGCTCGACAAGTGTGAAGCAAAAAATTATAAAAATAAGAGTTTTTTAAAAGTGATAAGTACTGATGGAACGTCGTCGCTTTTTACAATGTAACACAATAGTTTTTTGTTAATGATAAACTAGTTAACAAATAAAAAATATTGTAAGTGATACTTAAGATTACCGTAAGGTATTACTTTAATATAATGAAGAATTCAAAAAGAAATAAATTACCGTATAAAGGACATAAAGTAAGAACAAGAGAAAAAATCCTAAAGGATACGAATATATGATCATAGTATAATGGGAGTATTGACGTCTTTCCATTGAGTGTCAACGACTTTGGGGGATAAACGACGTATCCCTTGACCTCTGCGATTGATCACAACAGCATGTCCACTATCTAAAGAAGATTAGGTGACGAAAAAAAAGAATAGTGATGCCTACAAACCGCCACAAAGGAAACACTAATAGGATTTTGTCTGAAGTGTTGCTAGATATACCGGAGTTGTAAATTAATCTAAGAATATTTTTGCTTCTATTTTAGGTTCTTTTGCTTTTCCCCTGGAACTTAACCATAGATTTTTTGATGACAAAAGGCGACATTCAATGGTGACAACGTGCCAAATTTAGTTCTTAGCGTTAAATATATAAAATAAAAACCCCAAAACACTGAAGAATGCATTCCTTATGAACAGGTCTGATTTAATGTGGACAGTTATATTTTTGAGAAACGTACTTCGGATAGTTTTTGACGAAGAACAATGCTTTAACGAAAAACACTGCTTCATGGCACCTGATCCCACCTCTGATGTTTTGGAGGTCCGTGTTTGCTCTGCTCGTGTTTTGTGTTGTTTTATGGGCTTTTGATTACTGTTTTTTATCTTCGTATCTTCCAATTTAACGAAAAAAAAATTCTCCTTTTTTGGAACCATAGTAGTTTTGAACGTATAGTATCAGACTGAATATATATAGCATTATATTCTTGCATTCAGTAGTTGGTGTTTGAAATTTAAATAGGGATATTAATTTTGTTTCCTTTTAAAAAGTCAATTTCTTGAATCAATTAAAAAATTTTTTTTGCATAGACCTCTATTTTTCTCTTTATGCTTATGCCATGCATGTATCCTTGTAAAAACCGCTTTGTTATTTACCGATACTTAATGATCTATCCAATTTGCTAATAAGATTTTAAATTTCTTCTTAAATTATTGATTCCATCGATTAATTCTAGCTTTGACGACTTTTTCTTTGTAGTCTGAAATTTAAAGTGGCATTACCAAGCAATAGGGATTAAGTACGCTTTGATTTATACCTCTTATAATATATAAAAAGGTTCGTTAGACTTGCTTGCAGGGTGATTCCAATCATTGGATTAAAGAGGCGACGTTGTGTATTTAGATTTTCAATTATTCGAATAATTTGTGTATTGTTTTCATTCTGATAAATACTAGGTATAAATTTGATGTTTCTTAAGGCACTTATTTAACACATTTAACAAAAAAAAAATATTCATTCAAGTATTCTTCTTGGGTGCCAGCTACATTTATTCTTAATTACTTAAAAATGTGCACGAGGCTAAATTTTCATAAATAATCACTTTTCAGTATAGTGAGAAAAAGTCCTGAAGATTTTTTTAAATCAATTGTTTTTGCTCAGACCAGGGCAACATAGCAGCTCTGTTTGTTTCCAAAATTCATAACAGAAGACATGTTAAGTGTAAAAATCTTGTCATTTATTTAAATGACGAAAAATGAAATCCATTTATAAAAACAATTACCAAAGAACCTTATTTTATTCATCATTTTAAATTAAATGGCAATTGCTTAAATAGTAAAATGTTTTTGACGTACTTGAAATCATAAACAAAATGCAAGTTTAGAATTCTTGGCTAGTCACCGAACTAATAAGTTCTTAACAGAACCAAAACATATAAATATATGAAACTCAGAACTAAATGTGGAGAAAATTAGAAAGGTTGATTCCTAAAGGGGTTATACCAAATTGGTTCACCTTTAGATTTTGACACATTACGAAGGAGAAAGGGTAAACGAGAAAATTGCCTGTAGTGAGATTAGGCACCTAGCTCTAAAGAGAGGGCGAAGAAATGGTTGGAAAAATCAGGAAAAAGTGTCTGTGGCGACGACAGATTTAATCTAGACTTGCCAACTACAGTTATCATTATTTGAAGTGCTCTTCCATAAAAAAAAATTGTAGGCACGCATTTTCTATTGTAAGCACTGTATTCTGAAAAGTTTTGAATATCAAAATTTAAATTTATTTTGAGTGTCCTTTTTTGTCTGTATAATATATTAAGATAACGCACAAAAATCGAGCGCAAAAGTCCACCCATTACAAATAAGGGGCAGTCTTAAAAAGAAAAATCACGGGTGTGATCAGGTGCAATGGTGAATAAAGCAGCGATCTCTTGTCGACCGTTTACATCCGTCATTTGTTATCTCAACTAACTTTTTTCAAGAGTTTTCAATCGTTCAATTCAATTACATATGAGAACAATTTATAAGTAGACCGGTTTGGTCTTAAACGAGACATAATTTTGAAGAAAAGTGCACAATAATTTGATAAAAATTACAATCATTATACCTTTTTTAATACGTCTAAGATTTTAAGATTTTCCCCATAGTTATTGGAAGTTATTTAACTTGCTTACACATGTGTCTTTAATAATCTCAACTTTTCTGTTGAACCTCATTTTGTTTCAATTCAATTGTTCCTTGCACCATAGACAGCTGTTTTTACAATGAAAATGGAACTCGTAAATTTATTTACTAGTACCTTGTCATTGGTCCATTGAAAAATTATTTTGTTAAAATAATTCTGACTGTATACATTCTGAAGTCGAAGTTAAAAGAAGCTTAAGTTTTTGATTGATAACATCTATGTGTTTTTGGAGGGGGGTGGGGTCAGGTATTTCAACAATCTGTCGGAATTCATATTAGTGCCAATTGTGTCCGTTAGCGGACCTGAGACACTAATAC